AAAAAAAAATTTTTGGGGGGGGGGGGGGGGAAGAAAAGCTCTATCATAACCAGATCTATATAAAATAAAAGGCTGAAATAATATTTTTACATTATTTGCCTAACATTTACAGACCTGTTCAAATACTGTACTTCTCATTTGACCTGTAGCAGGGTGATAGTATGACCCTAAGGGAGGAGTAGTCAGTCCAGTGTAAACATATGTCCTGCTTTCTTTATCTTCTTACAGGATCACTAGCAAAAGTGACAGCTATTACCTCTTGTAGTGCTGGGTTTGAGGGGTTATTGGACATCTGTTCAGTAGGAACAAAACCGAGATTCACAATTGATTAGATAAACAAATAAACATTTAATCTGGAGTAGTTTGAAATCTCTACAGATTCGGCTAGATTTGCACTAGTGACCCCAAGGTGGAAATGTCTACATCCATAATCACTCTCCTGGGTGAATCAGCATGAGTTTTCACTATCATTGCTGCTAATTTTAATTACAAGTGTATTTGTTTCAATGAGGGCTTAATGAAAAAAGTCACATGATATGATGGTGCCTTAAATAAAGGGTTATTAGGTAACTAAAATGTTTCTAAGTTGTGGTTAAACACATCTTATAGATTGTTACAGCATGCTCTGGCTGCTGCAATGTTTCTAGAAAATGTAACTAGGCTAGGCACTGACACTAGTATTTATTAATAGCATATTCATTCCTAATACAGCAAAATTTTCATGTGACCAAAAGTTTGCCCTGTGAAGCATTGAAGCACCTGTAGGTACAGCTGCTTGTATAACAGGCCAACCATATGATGTTACTCTTAAAGAGGGGGTAGGAGTTATCTCACTTGGCTTTGGATATCTCAAAGTTACATGTTTAAGTCTGAACTGATCGCATGGATTTCTGGTTCAGTAAATAGAAAGCAATGGGTACTCGTAGAAGATGTTTCGTCTGACCTATCATCTCAAATACTTATCTTGAGATGAATGAAGTCACTGGAAGGGGCTGTTTGTTTTATGAATGTCAGAAAGGAGCTGGGATGTCTGATTTCCATATGCAGTAAAAAGAAAAAAAAAAAAGTAAAAAAAAAGATACAACAAAATAAATATTAACCAACTAAACTGTCATCTGCAGAGATGCTTTGTTGAAAAATTATCTATGGATTTGGCTAAAAATACCAGCCGTTGCTGTTTTTAATTTGAACATATATTCTGCTTTAACCTTCACTGCAATTGAACTGAGTAACATTTGAACTCGGGTCAATGTCGTACAGAAAGCTTAATGTTAAATCCCATTCTGTGTGGTTAGTGACCCTTCCTTGTAAAATCTCATTTCACTTCTCTGCTCCTCCAAAATCACTAGAATTTTTCATCTCCTTTCAGATGCAGACTGTGAACAAAAAGATTGTTCTCAAAATCTCTCCACATGAAAAAAACATACTAGCTC